CAGTGCTCGTGTCGCCGTGCCATAGGTCATCCCAATCAGTCGCTTTCATTAGCGGCGTAATATCATGTGACTCGAAATATCGTTATCAGAGAGAGCTAGCGCCATCGGTTGCCGTCCGCCACGCAGTTATATACACGCAGCATCGCCGTGTTTGCGTTCTGCTCACAAATTGCCTCACCTCTTGCAGGCGACGTATCGTATATATGGTATATATGGCCCGTAATTTCGGTGCCGCAATTGGCAATCGAGAGCTAGGCGACGTGGCTTTAATACTGCGCCGATAGCGAGAGGGAGAGCGAGGTGGGGAGTGGGGGGAGAAAGAGGAGAGAGAGAGAGAGAGAGAGAGAGAGAGAGAGAGAGAGAGAGAGAGAGAGAGAGAGAGAGAGAGAGAGAGAGAGAGAGAGCAATCGGTAGGAGGAATTTGGGACTCACTCCATGAATTAATATGAAAAAGCAAAATTGAAAAATAGTAAAAATGCATTTTCTTTTTCTCCTTTTTCTAATTTCTGGGATTCTCCAGACGGCATGAATCACTAAGATTCATTTGTTAACCCGCATAAATATAGCTCTCGAAAACAACTTGAATGCATAGTAATAACCATATTAAAGGATAGTTCATAGCGGTAGAGGAAGAAGGAGGCTGCGCGAAGGAGAAAGGGAGGAAAGAGAAAGGGCAGATTGGGATAAATTAGGAGTTTTGCACCCTACAGGCTGGGCCGCGCTCCAAATTATAAACACATGTCTACTAATAACAATTAATTACAGAAATCGATGCTGAGATACCCCATAACCATATTAAATGCATAATTATCACAAAATATAACTCTTTTAATGAAATATTGCGCATGCGCTAACACACTAACGTAGCCAGATTATGCAGCGGGTGCCTTACAGGCAATGTCTTCGTCCTATTTCTTAACTGAGGTTTACTGACGAAATTTTATCATATAAATCTATGCTAGAATACCTCCTCTCTATTTTAAATGCACAAATTTCGCAAAATATTATTATTCTCGGGAGATATTGCGCATGCGCGGGCACAGTTTCAGACGTGCAATACGGACTGAAGACAACTGCATAATATAGCTTGCTGAGAGAGGGAGTGAGTGTTGAGAGACTGAGTAAAGGCAGCAGGAAAGATAGTTGGGGCGGAAGAAAAAGAAGGAGGCTGAGCGAAAGACAATGGAGGCAAGGAGACGGGCGGGAGCGGACGAAGTAGGGATTTTGCACCCTTCAGGCTAGGGCGCACTTCTAATTATAAACACAGGTCTACTTATAACAATTAATTACAGAAATCGATGCTGAGATACCACATAACCATATTAAATTTACAATCCTCATAAAATATAACTCTTCTAGTGAGATATTGCGCATGCGCAAACACACTAACGTAGCCAGATTATGCAGCGGGTGCCTTACAGGCAATGTCTTCGTCCTATTTCTTAACTGAGGTTTACTGACGAATTTTATCATATAAATCTATGCTAGAATACCTCCTCTCTATTTTAAATGCACAAATTTCGCAAAATATTATTATTCTCGGGAGATATTGCGCATGCGCGGGCACAGTTTCAGACGTGCAATACGGACTGAAGACAACTGCATAATATAGTTTGCTGAGAGAGGGAGTGAGTGTTGAGAGACTGAGTAAAGGCAGCAGGAAAGATAGTTGGGGCGAAAGAAAAAGAAGGAGGCTGAGCGAAAGACAGTGGAGGCAAGGAGACGGGTGGGAGCGGATGAAGTAGGGATTTTGCACCCTTCAGGCTAGGGCGCACTTCTAATTATAAACACAGGTCTACTTATAACAATTAATTACAGAAATCGATGCTGAGATACCACATAACCATATTAAATTTACAATCCTCATAAACTCATTAAATAAGTTCATTCGGTTGGTA